AGGTATTTAATTTTCCATCAGGACAAAAAAAATCAAGGCATATATTAAAAATAAGGCAAACATCTATTTCAAATAGATTTCACAGCTAAACAATATAAAAATAAAATATGGAAATAAGATTTTTTTTTTATAAAAAGAGGTAGTTCAATCAAAATATCTAAACAAAAACAACAGCCTCTGTTTAGCTATGCCACATGTATATAACTCCAAAGATGCATTAAGATATCATCTATAATTACACACATGGTGTTCACATTTTCAAAGTTTCATACATAAGCGTAATACATTCAGTATTTTGCTCAAATGTCCATCTGACTCGTATAATGTCAAAAAATAGTAAAATGTTGTTAGCTAGCAAGTAAAAAAAGGAAATCATATTAAAATTTATGGTTGCCATGGTGACATGTAAAGGAAGATGGTATCATTAATAATTTTTTTATCAGACCACAGAAGAATCTTAGTGGAATGTTTTAATCTTTAATTCTGACTATCCATGTTGTTAAACGACAGTCTTTTTATGGAATGTTTACTATGTTCATGCATTTCCAACTGTTTTGTAATGACAGATTGACATTTTTTATTAACAATTTAAAAAAATACAAATTCCAAATAATAAAAAAAAACTTGTTAAGGGTTCCGCTGAATACTATGCTGCTGAGAGTGTAAAAGTGATGACTGTAAAAGTGAGTCCATTTGTCAGTAAAATACAGAATTGAAAATAAAAATCAAACTTTTTCTTTAGATGCTATTTCTTGATCTTGAAGATCAGCTTCTGTCAATGTTTCATAACAATCCATGAAGGTTTACAAATTTATAATGTCAATCAAAAGTAGTCCCAATTTGTCTGTAAATGTTAACTGTAAAAAACTAAGTCCATCTATCAGTAAAATACTGAAAAGAAAAAAAAAAAGATTGCTTCAGACACTATCTCTTAATCATAAAAAAACTTCTGCCAAAGTTTAATAAAATTCTATGAAGGTTTGACAAATTAACTAATGTGTAACAAAATTTAATCCCAGAGTATATCTGCTTATTAACTAAATAAATCCATTAGAGTCCATTTATCAGTAAAATAAGGAAAAATGAAAATAAATAAATCTTTGACAGATTTTTCTCTGGATACTGTCTGTTGTCTTAAACTAGCTTCTGTTTAAATTCATAACATTCCATGAAGGTTGGACAATGTTATTGATGACTGAAAAACTTTAACCCAAGACTGAACCTAAATGTGCACAATGCCAATGACGACGGAATCTAGTATCTCTATGTCTCGCTTGCAGGCTTGACAAGAAGACAAGCTTTAAACCCACATTGAGCTAGCCTACAATGTTCTAATGGAAGCTAATTTTACATTAGAAGTTACTTTTTAAACATACATTTTACTTTTACCGATTTAGTTAAGTGAACGGTGTCTTTTCTGACTGTTATAACATGAAAACCTTTTCCAAAAATACAAAAATTTCTATATACTTAACTTATAAAAAAATATCTAAAGAATAACAGCATAGAAGTTGATGATTAAAGTTTGGCTGTGGCAATGGCAAATGCAGTTTTACTGTCGACAAGTCTTCGACCAGAGTATTGTTATTCCTATTTCAATGCACTAGAGCTTGAAAAAATTAATAAAAAAAAAAGAAAAAAAAGAAAATGATTCAAATTGGGATAATCTCTTTTCAAAAGCTTTCTGAGGTAGGTGTAGTTATATTTTCAATTATTCTTATTAATTGAACATGTCAATTATAGTAGCCAATGACAAAACATTGTTATACAAAAATAAGTTTAATTGCATTAGAATATTTTTCTCATATTGTACACTGTCAGAAGGTGGTTGTCTATTTGAAATTGCTCCCTAAAATTTAAAATTGACACACTTGAATAAAGAGGGAGAAGATATCAAGGAACATTTAAGTTCTAAGAACAGAAACAGAAAAATATCATTAACCGACATTCAGAAGGTTTGCACTTCTTTCATTTATATAATTATGCTATCTTATTCAAGTTGAGGTAAACTAAAAAAATTAAACATTTAGTATATAGAGTATAAATGCACTTTGTATATTGAATAAGTAAATAAAAATTATGTCAGTAAAAAACTGACATAAAAACATTAATGCCACGAGTCCATCTAAGCATTGATGTAATAAAAATATATATAAATTATAAAAGACAATAAGAACAAGTCTACATTAGCATCAATCAGATTACAATATAAGTCTAAAGTACGGGAAAGGAATATACATGGAATACCTATACAACACTTTGCAAGGCTTAGAGACAGGTAGAATTACAGGGCTTGCTGAGTATTGCTAACTGTTTTTCCCTTTAAACTGTCAGGGTAAAAAGAATATTTGTATATGGAATAACTATACATTGTCTGATAAAAAAAACATATTTGTATGAGGTTTAGAAAAAAGTAGAATTTAATGGCTTGTTGAGCATTTTTTATTTTTTTTATGCTGAATACAGATAATCTTATATCAGAGCTACACAAGTCATGGTTATTGCCTTATACTGCAATGCCCAAAACGAAATATTTTTCCTAAATAAAATTCTATGGAAAACTATTGCTCAGGTAGAAAAAAAGGCTTTATAAGGTCAGTGAATGTATATCAAATATGTTTATACAGTCAACACAATAGACTGCACAAATACCCTGATTTCAGTAGAAAGATCAAATATACTTTGTATATTGAAGGTCATATAAGGTTACTCTTGAGTGACTTGTTAACCTATCTCATCTCATTGCATTGTTATTCAAACCACTGCTATTTGTGTAAATAAGTAAAAATATCCCATGTCCGGAAAAAGGATTTTGTCTACTTATCATGGATTCGCGTATTTATTCCATGTTCTTTGGGAATATACCCTGTTTATTTTATAGTAAACTATGAGTTTTCTTAATCATAACTGAGATATTTATATATGAATTATTTTGAATACCTCTAATATAAAAGTAAAAAGATAGACAGAAGGCAAAACCTAACAAGAGAGCACACACTGAAATGTCTTGCCTGCTTTATTGACCACTGATTTTATGTTGATAGTCCTAAATATGAAGCTTTACTACAAGTATCACATAACTTAAAATGATCCAAGAAAATGAGGTCAATGTCAGATAAACCAACCCGGAAATACATGTAAACATTACAATCATTCCATACACCAAATATAGTTGACCTATTAGTTATAGTTTCTAAGAAACAAACTTAACCAGGATAACTTAACATTGACCAATGAACCATGAAAAAATCGTTTTTTAATATGTCCATACACCAAATATAGTTGACCTATTGCATATAATATTAGAAAAAAGACCAGAACACAAAAACTTAATTTTATCCACTGAACCATGAAAATAAGGTCAAGGTCAGATGACACCTGCCAGTTGGACACGTACACCTTAAAATCATTCCATACACCATATATAGTAGATCTATTGCTTATAGTATATGATATATGGACTTGACCACGATAACTTAACCTTGTTCACTGATCCATGAAATGAGGTCGAGGTCAGATGAAAACTGTCTGACAGGCCTGAGGCCCTTGCAAGGTACACAGATACTAACTATAGTTATCATATTACTCATAATAAGAAAGAAATTAACATTACAAAAAATCTTAACTTTTTTTTCAAGTAGTCACTGAACCGTGAAAATGAGGTCAAAGACAATGGTCATATGACAGACGGAAACTTCATAACATAAGGCATCTATATACAAAGTATGAAGCATCCAGGTCTTCCACCTTCTAAGATATAAAGCTTTTTAGTAGTTAGTTAACGCCGCCGCCAATCCTGATCACTATCCCTATGTCGAGCTTTCAGCGACAGAAGTCGCAGGCTCAACAAAAATAGAACATACAACTTTTCATTTCACTAAAACAAATACTCTAAGCAACCATTGTTTGTGATAAGAATTAAGTGTATGGCATTTAGTATTTTTTCAATATAGAGAAATTTGGACAATTTCTGTCCATTCCTTAAAAGCCACATTAATAACTTGCATCTTTGTCTCTCTGTTGCTGATTTTTTTTTGTTCCTTTATCTTTATGTAATAACTGCATAAGTCTGGATCTTCATGTAAAAAAATGTACGACTCTTGATCTTAATGTTATAACCCTGTAAAGCTTAATCGTTATGAGGTAAACCTTATTAACCTGTAAAACTGTAGCCATTATTCAATATAAAACAACAAAAAATAAACATTCAAAACAACACCCAATCCCCACCAAAAAAACTCATTGTCATTAACAATTTAAAGATAAAAAAAATGCCACAGACTGCCTTGAAATTGTACAAACAAATAGTTGTATTTAACTATATCTAACAAACGAATTCACAGGTCATCTATTTCATTTCACATAAACACACTTTCTTCTTTTAGTCATAAAATATATTCATCCACATTTCAGATGGCAGTTTTAAGTTCTTTCTAATTGTGAAATCAACTCATTTCAACTCGATAACTTGACCCTGTAAATAATGATGAAGACATTTTGTAACACTTTATAAATGTTTCACAAGGATTCAATCATTTTGAATCACATGGTATATTGTCCCAATAAAAACAGCATATATGACATTACAACAATGCATAATTGCAAATTTAAATTGTAATTTACTGGTTTTAGTATTCACATTTACTTATAAAATTTTTCAATTCCTTTTTTAAGTTTTTTAGGGTACTTGAAGCATTAAATAATGTATATCTTCTGTGTTTCATACAACGTTGCTTTGACAACACTTCCCCCTGAAAATATAATAAGAAACTATAAAAAAAGGTCAGTACAACACTGCAGCCTTATGAAACAAGTCGACCTGAAGGAACAACAATCTAGTAGTCATCATTAAGTCATATGAACCAAAAAAAAGCTCAAGATTAAAAGTCAAAAAAGTAAAATTTTCGTCTGAGGACTGTTTTTCAGTGAAATTTCTGTTAACCAGAACAAATTACAAACTCCAAAATGCAAAGTTGTCTAACAGGAAATCATTCCATATCTTCTAATTCCATCATCCACTAATCTGATCAATATCTGCTAGTATAACTGACATATTCTTAACAACTGTTTGCTTTCAGAATGATGGACATGAACAACACTGTATGCCACAACCTCAGTAGCTAAAAAGTAATTTGAGATAAATGATGATTTTACAATTAATAAGTGAGAATAAAATTAAATGTAATATATAATGTATAACAGTTAAATAATGTGTGTGCAGGTTAGTTCAAGTATTACAATTAAAACTGACACTGGCACATAATGACATAGGCTGGGTTAGACTGAAATTTAATTGAATTGACAAATTATATACTGTAAATTCTGAAATTATTGCATGAATTTATAATTGTGATTTTTGTAGAACAGACACAATTTACATCCTCAAGTATATTGCTGTTCTCATTCAGTTGCATTATTCTCATTAATAAAAATTTCTCCATATTTTTTGAATTTTTGGAGTATAAGTCAAAAGTTTTTAGTGCTTGCTGTTCATTTGCGTCATATTTAGTAGTCAATAGATTTGTCTTGTTGATTATGATGTGTTCTTCTCTGGTTTTCATGTTTTTTTTATCTACCTCATTATTTGCTCATACAGGAATGTATTCATATTTACTTCTACTCTGTTTTATCAAGATTTCCTGATACATACATTAACATTTGAACATATATCATCTAAAGGTGATGTGAATAAAAGTAACAATGTTAAATGGCAATAGCAGGATCCAACTTGGTAGCAGACACATGATCTAACTTGCCTAATATATATACATAAAGGGATCTTTTAGAAGAAAATACCACAAACAAACAAATCTAAAAGGTGTCTCATAGCTTATATTTCTGATCAGCATACTTGTTTAAATCTTAAGATTTATATAAACAATACATGTGGTTGGATTGGACTATTGTACTTTTCTATGCTTAGAGTTGTCTCATTGGCTATCATACTACATCTTATTTTTATATTTGTTCTTTGCTTCGTGTATTTCCTACTATCTAATTAATATTTTACAGAATGCTTTGGTCTTACTTTTCACCAAACATTGTTTAGTTTGTATAAATTCATGGATTTCAGATGAGAATAAATCAGCATTATACATTGGGCTATTGATACTGATGGAGGATATTCAAAATACTGGATTAATTTATGTATGTATTGTTAGATATTCTTGTTAAGCATGTGTTTCTTAATAGAGTCATCTAATCAATCAATTTACAGGAAGTAGCTACTATTTCAGATGGAAACTTTCCAACTATAGGCAAAACTCTTGTGCAAATTAATGATAAACAAACCTTTTGCAAGTTGCTTAAGCATTACAATTACTGCATTACAATTAAAACAGTTAAACAAAGGTTTAAAAGAGTTTGTGCAAGCATTACAATTAAAACAGTTAAACAAAGATTGCGCACGTTAGCTCAAGCATTACATTAATACTGACACTGGCACACAATGACATAGGCTTGGTTAGACTGAGATTTAATTTAATTATATACCATAAATTTTGAAATTATTGCATGCATTTATTATTAGGATTTTTGAAGAATGGACACAAATTTATACCCTTAAATATATTGCTGTTCTCATCCAGTTGCATTATTCTCATTAACAAAAACCTCTCCATATTTGCGAATTTAAAGTAATAAATGAGTTAATTTCAATTGTAATTTTTTTTTACAAACTTAGAAAGCAACTTATTAAACGTTTTTTCAACATACTATTGTATTCATGAGCTTTAAAGGATATGACTTCACTTTTAAATGTAGCTGTAGTTGATTGCATGAAATTCATAGCACAATATATCTATAACAATTTCAAAATAACAGCACATGAATAATATATATTGTTGTGTAATAAAAAGTTCAAGGGAGGACACAATGATATATATTGGGCTATATATTGGGCTATATATGTGTGTTGCCTGCTGCTACAATGGACTTATTTTGAAGGGAAATTAACTATCAAACTTATTTGAATGTCAAATGATACATGTAATGTGCTCATGTTAATGCATGTGTGTGTAATGAATTCAAATAAAACTATTTGGACGTGAGAAAAAGAAATATAAAAAATATAAAAAAAAATGCTGTTATGTGAAAATATATCTTTTTTCTGTTTTTTTATTTGTTATTAAAGATGGTACATGAACAATTGTATGGATGATCAAAACATACAAGCTAAAGTTATAATACAATGACACTTAATCCACTCGTTCAAGTAGATACTTTAAAAAATATAACTTAACTAAAGGAGGCTATGTATTGTATACATTGAACAGTATTTATACTTGTAACTTCATATGTTTGATTTTGAATCTGATAAACATTTTTTATTTAAGAGTAGGAAAAGCAAGATACAGATCTTTTTATGTACAAACTTACCAAAGTATGAATTTAATGTTTGCCATTATGTTCTTCAAGCATTGACAGTCTGACATCATCAGCGACAGCTTCTGGAGTCCCTAACAAAGTCAATATATCAACATAGGTAAAATTACATTCTAATCTCTGAAGGAAGATTAATTAAAGTATATGGTGTCCCTAACAAAGTCAATAAACCAACATAGGTATTGTGGTAAAATTACATTCTAATCACTGGATGAGGACTTATCCCAATAGTAAAAGCTAGTATAAAAATACGAAGATGTGACATGATTGACAATGAGACGACAAAGAACGTAGATGTAAGTACCTATATGTCATAAAAAATCAGGAAGTATTACCTAAATGTACACAAATTGTCCAGATGTGCTCACAAAATGATGACCACATGTTCAATGAATGTGCAAACATTCTAGAAAGTTTGAAAGTATTGGGAGGAGTTGATTACACTAAATGGGTATCCTCAATAATGAATGGTTCTAAAGATGACCAAGTTTCACCATCTGGAAAATATACAGATGTTATCTTAATATGTAGTACAAAAAGAGTTGCAGATGTTAAATATTAAAGTATGCCAGACATTTTGAAGGCTTGTATTGATATCTTCAGTAATTGATAAAATAGAAAGGGAACCTGATTTTCAAACCCAACTTTCTACATAAGAAAATGCCTGTACCAAGTCAGGAATATGACAGTTGTTGTCCATTCGTTTGATGTGTTTGTGCTTTTGATTTTGCCATTTGATTAGGGACTTTCCGTTTTGAATTTTCCTCGGAGTTCAGTATTTTTGTGATTTAACTTTTCACCATTCAATATGCTGAATTTGCATTTCAAGCAACCAAACATAAAATTGAGATTGAAACATGTCTTTTTGTTGTTGTTGGGTTGCTCTCTGTATATGTTCTCAAATCTTTTCATTTATCGAAAACAAAAGTCAATAGGACTGTGTATCCCACAAATAAAACTTTGTATTTGTCCTAAAAAATGGCCATACAGGTACAGTAAAATGGCAAATCATTCACACACAAACACAAAAGGTATCTATGTATGATACTGATAAAATATTTCTGTCAAATGTCAAGAGCATGGTGCTAAGGTGACTTCAGTATCTATAGTTGTATAATAGGATTAGTAACCAAATTATTAGCAAGCAGTGTTTATCAATGAGAAATTAACAAAAGTTCAATAGCCATTATTATGTTGAGAGTAGGTCATGCTACATATGTTTTTACCACAGTTAAATTGAATACTAGTAAGTGGTTATAAATATCAAGGAGAATATGCTTTAGTGAATCCCCCGTCCAAAGTTTCTATGAATGAAGTTTCAAAGATGTTTTATGCTGAATTTGTTACAGCAGACATTTTGTTGAGATTCATATTTACAAACCTTTCAACATTCGAAAACATTATGCACAAAATAAACAAATGCATGGTGAGCAATACAAGGTCATTGTATTGTTTCTAATGTTCTCTGAAACCTGTTGTTGGACATTTAAAAAACATTTGGACCAATCAAAACTAAAATATCTTTCAACGTAAGGGGTCTTCTATTGGAAGGAACCTGATAGAAAAGTTCTACCAAATTTTAACATTTGAATCTTGTTTCAGAAAGCTCTCATTTAAAGATAAATATATCTTTTAATAATGTACAGCAGTGCATGTTATATTATGTATATTTGTTTTCAGAATGTCTCCCTTCACTAGTCCAAGGTGAAATAAAAATATACATATTGCAAGTTATCCTTTACCACAAAATGTCAGTCTATATGGAACAGAATCTATTCACAAAATGTGAGGGTAAATCAGAAAAATACCCTGTGCAGTCTATATGGAACCGAATCTATGCATTAAATATGGAGAAAATCAGCTAAATACCCTGTGCAGTTTATATCGAACAGAATCTATTAAACAAATGTGGGGAAATCAATAAAATACCTTGTGATTTTCTCTTCTTGCAGCAGCAGCAATATCCACCTACACAACATAAGCAGACACCTGCCAATACACCAAACACTATCCCTAGTATTCTTGGAGTCGATAAACCACTGTCATCATCCCTATGAGCCTGAGTGATGTTTACTGTATTAATGAAAAATGTGCTTACAATTTTCTTAAAACAAAAATACAGAGTGAAACATTATAACTCCTTGAGACATAATTAAAGACATACTTTATAATTCTTAATCTCTTTTCTTTGTCAACACCAAAACTAATTTGTTATATTCTGTAAAAGATTCTTTGTTTATCTCTATTCTTCATTAACAACAAAACTACTATGAAATATTACCTGGTGTCAGTGTAGTGTACAATGATGTAGTGTAAACGATAGGTTGTGAGCATGCTTGGCTGTTGTTGACTGAGGATACGGAGAGTACCCATAGCTCTTCTGTAACGGAACCATGGAGGAAATATCCTAGCTCCCATGATATTGTCAGCTTTTCAAATTTTTGTAAATCCTGAGGTAAACACCACCATCCCTGGAGGTCATCACATTTAATAACCTATAAAATAAAATAGGAACCAGTGACTTTGGCTGCAACTTTCATATGATGATAAACTTTTTATCCTTCAATCAGCCTACTCTTGTACAAATTACAAGCATACAATTTAATTTTGCTTTATTTCTACTTGTATCTATAAAGTCTCCTGTTATCATGCGTTCATGATGAGTGAATTGTTATTTTGAGTTAATTTTTGTCCTCTCAGCGGACCTAGTTTAACCCATGTCCTTTTCTATTAAAATAAAATAAAAAACAATTTGGAGTTTAAAAAATATACGAAAAGTGCCAATGTTTAATCGAAGGATAAAACAATCTATGAACATTGTCAGAAACTATAAAATTTTATTTGTACTTGCTACCAAAGAGATGGGCCTGTTTTTTTGTTGTTCATTTTTCTTGAGTCTAAACAAATAAATTTGATATTTTCCAACAATGTACATTTATTGTTTATCTACCAAATATAACAGTTCTCACATATATCATAATATAAAAAGGAGAATAATCAACTACACACCTTGATAAAACTTTCTACCACATGAAAGCTATCACATACAAAGATCTTAACATCAAAAGAGGGAAAATCAACTGAACATATTGATAAAACATTCTACCAAACATGAAAGTTATCACATATATATAAAGATCATAACATAAATAGGGAAATTATCAACTACACACCATGAAAAAACACACCTTACATGAAGGTATCACATATTTAGATCATAACATAAAAGGGGGAGGGGTAATTGAATTCACAGTGACAGTCCAATTTCCCCTTCATATTGGTGTATCTACCTCCTTCAGAACTTACCAATTGTATTAATTGATAATTTGTTCTCGTCCTAAATATGTATGAAGTAATTAACACTGAATATTAATCAAATAACAACCAATCTATATGTATCTTCTAAGCAAACTAACATGTTAATTGATTTGAAATTCATGGGGCCTAAATAAGGTCTTTGCCATATAAACTCCTTTAAACTTACCAAAGTGAAAAAAGAATCAATATGTATAAACATTGGCAGATATTCATTTGTAGCTCGTCTACAGGGAACCCAATCTCTTTTCTTCAGATTTGCTTGATGGAAACATATCTTCTTTGTATTACTTTGTATTACTATGTTAGCAGTGCATGTTTTGTGTTCTAATTCAAACATTTGGTCCCAGGTGTTCGGGGCACGCTTTAATTTAAACATTTGAGGTGAATCTTCCAAACAACCATCCATTCTACACGGAAGGAATGGGTTAACTGAAATTTATAAATATAACTATTTATTACTAATTCTAGAATGAGACAATGCAGTTTTAAATGGATGTATACAAATGTAAACATTATATATTACTATAAGACAATGAAATCATATTAAAAACTTTAATATATCACTTGTTTCAAAAGTTCTATGTCGTGTTTATGTCCTTTGTAGCAATATCTATCCACAACAAAATATGATTACAATTTGGGGGTTATAAAGTCTCATGAAAATCTCATTTCTAGTTCTTCTTTACTTTTTAAAAACATTTGGTCTGAAATTAACTAAAGTCAACCAAAATTAACCATCCTTTAAAAATCCAATTGTTTGAGATGAAAAAATATGTAGGGAACATTATGTTCAAACCTTTGGTTTGATCAATTTTAAAATAATATATAACAGTGTTCCACTGTCCCCAGCATACTTTAACGGTCAAGGGGCTATAACTTTATAAATTGTAAAGACATATAGCTTGATTTCAACTTAAAAAGAATCAGAAAAGCAACTTTTTTTTTTGTTCTTTCTTCAAAAATGGCAATAATTAATACACGCAATAATTTCTGAATTGACAGTATTTGGATTTTTTTCTTCATATTTAATTTTTCAAGAGACAAAACTCCAACAAAAATAGTTAATCAGCACTGATGTTATAACTTGTCAGTGAGATAGATAATTATATATAATACATGTATAAAACTTTTGAATCTATACTTTTAAATAAATTGGCTTAACTATAATAACAGGGTCATGAATCTTATGACACATCTAATTCATAAAGAGTCATTTTGATTTAAAGACAATGGTTGTCTCATTTAAAAATGAAAACACCAGTAAAATCAAAACACAACCTTCCCCAGTTTGAATGCCAAGGGTAGTGGTTATTTATTATATGTTAATTTACAGTTCTATCAAAACAACTCCAAGAATGTGAAATACATTAACTTACATAGTAAATGTGTAATGTTTTATTTAGAAAATAATCGTGAATACCTCATCCTTACTGAACCAGGCTAAACCCACAATTTTCTTTGGAAAATGTCTGTACAATGTTAGGAATATGACATTTATTCCCCATTCGTTACCATATATTTGATAAAGTCAAACGTTTTATTTTGTCAGGTTCCATGGAAGTCCCTGTTTACCTTGAATTTACCTTAAGATTTGGTATTTTTCTTATTACTTTTAAACTCTGCAGTTTTTTTTTTACTTACATTTGAAAGATGGTATCTCAGATGCTATAAGATCAAGTCCTGTTAAATTTGAGAGAGCACAGTTAGAACACTCTTTCATTGAGAAAAGTATTGTTCCATTCCCGGTCAAATCTGTATGTTGTTGGGACTTGAAATTGTCCAAAACTCGGAAAACTAATGTAAATTCTAGAGTTGGCCATTTTATTTTTACAGATCCCTTAAGGATGCAACTAAGCCTCTGCAAAGATAAAAATAATAAATCATAAACTGTTAACACATACATGACATATAATATATTTTTCCTCATTGGAAAAAAAATTAAGCTTGGTAAAATGTATATTTACCAATAGTATGAAGTACTCCTGACAAATAAATGGATCATTATATAGTTGTCCTGTCCTAACTAATTTCAGTGATCTATAAAAGGGGGGCTATATGTGTGCACTTTGTATGTTCTTCAGTATGGCCGTCAGGTAAGTTTTCTGTTATGCTTTTATCTTTTGGTTTGTGTTTGGTTGATATTCATATCATAAGAAGTTACAAATTAATTTTTAGATTCTTTTTGCTTAAGCATTTTTTATTCGAATGACAATGCCCTTGTAGATAGACAATGTTGCTCAGTCTTTGATTTTCTATGTTGTTTTGTTAACTGTTGTTTTTCTTTTTCGTTTATAGCAATGGCATTGAGAGTTTATTTTTGACTTTTGAGTTTGAATGTCCCTTTAGTATCCTTTGCCTCTCTTTTGCTTGCAAATCTCAGTTTTCTGTTATGCATAAATCAATTGACTAGATATTTGTCATTTACTAGTAGTCCAACTACAGTTATAGTTTAAGATTTCATTTCAATGATTTCAACTGAAGATGTAGCCTTTTAACTTAGTTTCCCAGTTTTTTCTGTCATGCCTGAATCAATTGATTAAATTTCGTTTAAGAAATCATATCATCAGAAAGTTTGTTTCAAGTCCAAGTAAAAAAAATGCCTGAGAATATATTTCTTTCAGTAGTTGGGCATTTTCTGCATCTTTAAATAAACATTCTGGTCCATATAATGATAAGATTGAAAATTCTTTCAAAATCAGTATAGCTTGTCCCATAGAAGTGTATACACATCCAATGTAAACATTACAGAGTGTAACTGACATTGTATTACATATACAATACTCTCAGAATACTTGTTCATATTAATCTTTTCTTTAAACTCTTACGTTCGTTTGAGAACTAAGCAATGATACAGTCAACGTTTTGTCCTCTTACTTTCAGTGGAGTACCAAGCAATGATTCACCAGCATATACTAAGACTTCAAAGAAACATTTGTCAGCTGTAAGTGGTGTAGATGTGCTTGTTTGGAATGTCATTTCCAGATCATACATTGATGGATTATACACGTCAACAAAAGCGCCAAACTTGCAAGAAGTTATATTCTGTTCAACCATACTCTTCCATTCCATAAAATCATAGGTGAAATAGACAATTTTTGTTTCTTTTCCATCAAGTTCTACCTCTTTACCACAGATTTTAGGTATTTCATTTTCTGAAATAGGTAACAATTTCAATTTTGAAAATCAGAATATAAACATTGAATATATATGTAATTTGAATGTCAGTAAAAAATGAAACACCTACAATACTAGTGGACAAAAATAGACCATCAATATCTACTTATACTAGAAGACAAGCATTGACCATCAATATCTACTTATACTTGTAGACAAATGTTCAACGTAGATATTTACCAATATCAATGGACAAAAATTGAGCATCAATATCTACTTATACTAGTGGTCAAACATTGACCTTCAATATCTACTCATACTGGTGGTCGAACATTGACCTTCAACATCTACTCATACTAGTGGTCGAACATTGACCTTCAATATCTACCCATACTAGTGGTCAAACATTGACCTTCAATGTCTACTCATACTAGTGGTCGAACATGGACCTTCAATATCTACTCATACTAGTGGTCGAATATTGACCTTCGATATCTACTTATACTAGTGGTCAAACATTGACCTTCAATACCTACTCATACTAGTGGTCATACATTGAACATCCCCTTTAACTCATACCAGCTATATAGAACAAACATTGACTATCAATATTTACTCATGAAAGTGGACAAACATTGACCATCAATATCTTATCATACTAGTGGTCAAACATTTACCATCAATATATACTCTTCTTCTGGACAAACATTGACCATCAATATTTACTCATACTAGTGGAAAAACATTGACCATCAATATTTACTCATAGTAGTGGACAAAAATTGACCATTAATATCCACCAATGCTTTAAGTCAAATGTTGAACATCAATATATACTCTTTACTGGTAGTAGTGGCCAAATATTGACTATCAACTGTATAAATTAGAAGATGTGGTATGAGTGCCAATGAGACAACTCTCCATACAAGGCACAATACATAAAAACAGTTATAGGTCAAAGTACAGCATTCAACACGGAGCCTTGGCTCACACCCAACAGCAAGCTATAAAGGGTCCAAAATGACTAGTGTAAAACAACTCAAATAGGAAAACAAACGGTCTAATCTATATAAACAAGAGTGCACACGCTGAAATGTCTCATCTGCTTCACTTACCATTGATTTTATGTTGAAAGTCTTAAAGATAAAGGTTTTGCTAAAAGCATTACAGAAACTTATTGCGAACCCAATGAAAGTCTTCCACAGAGTCAATTGCTCTTGGTCAAGGTATTTAAAATTTTGTCTGTTCTATTGTCCTATTGAATAAATACAATAGCTTTTGTTCTCTGTATAGTTTATTTACTGGGACCTTTAAATTTCTTCAAAGAGAAATCTATCACTCATTGATTAATTTACTGGAGATATTTTTTTATCTTCTAAATGTATGAAAATACATGTATCAACTCAAAAAAATGCATGTGATGTTGTATTTATTATACACCAAATAAAGTTGACCTATTGTGTGGTTGGTCCAGGAACACAGTTATTGTCCCTTGATTTTTGTTGTCAAAATTCATTAAGCTTTAGTCATACCAAGTTTTATTAAGATTAGTTAAGTCTTTCTATCCTTTTAGGTCTGGGAACACAGTTATTGCTCCTTGATTTTCGTTGTCTACAAATATAGTACCTAGTGTGGACAGTGTGCTACTTGCCATTTTTTTATACCCTTTCCAAATTTATTTCTTCATGTTTTATGCCTTAAATAGCAAGTAGGTGGATGAACCTACACTGTAAAAAAATTTGGGTCATCAATTTTAAAGTAAAAAAGTGATTTGGTCCAGCTGAAATAGGTTAAAAATAAGTATTTAGGAAGCTGTCAAAGAATTCACGACCCCCTTAACATAAAATTGTCCATATTTTGAGTTGGAGCTGATGAAGTTTTCTATATTTTGATATAATTTGTCCCAAAAGTAGTACACCATGCTGTAAAATATTATTGAGAAAGCGCAGGAGGGATTTTTTTATTTCCATTTATTTTCTTAAAGAAATGCACTACGAAATAACTGTGTTCTAATGCCTAAGAGATGAAATCAGTAAATATAGAATCTGTACTTTGGCAAATTCCTTGAATGATTTAATGGTGCCAATTTGTCAAATAGCATGAAACTAAAGGATTTAAACTTTTATTTGATAGAAATTCTGCAAAAATGTCCCATTTAGGCATTATATGGTCAAAATAAGCATTTCAAAGCCTTTTTATTTTTTTATGCATAAGTGGCATTCTGGCTTTCTATCTGACAGGTTTTCATGAGTCAATATTTTTGTTTTTAGGCTTTAATCAAATTGTATTATTGATTGGTGAACTCTGAATCTAGAGAAAAGTAGATTATCACAGACAAAATGTGAGAAATGTGTTGTGTGAATGGTCCTCGTCTAACAGCCGGTTTGAAGCAAGTAAAATGTGAGGAGCTTGATACATGAACGTCTATAATAAAGATTTCACTACATTTGTATAGAAAGCACTTTACAATGTCTTTTGTACCTGTTTCATTTCACATACTATCTTTCTTTTCTACTGTAGGATAGCAAGTGGTTCAAATATATGTCTGTTGAGACTAAAATTGCATGCAAGTGTTTCACTGAAAAGTGAAAAATCTTTGTATCAGACCATACTGTCTGCAAAAAAGGCTAAATGCAAGAGTCCTTTTTTACTCAGACTTCTTGTATCATGTCACCTGAGTATAGAAATGAGCAAACAGTATCAAATTATTATTTCCTATAGCTTCAGTGTTCATTTTTAAATGTAAACATGTGCTACGGCCTATTTGAATTGATCCTAAATTATTTTCAGTCTTACTTGGCCTTAGACTATTTTATACTCATATCATATGCTATTTGTAATTTTTCTTTCCAATTAAAGTGCATTCAATACATATGGAAGGATTATTTATAAGAAAAAACCTTCACAAATTTAAAATTGCTGGAAAATATTACATCTTCATGTTAGGCCCCCATTTCATTCGAAAACCCCTATTTTTAGGAACATGCTCATATAAATTCGACTTTGGAATAATTGTAATAAATCTCATACATTAAATGAGTATTCTTTTGCATTAAATACATGATATGTTAAATATTAGGGCAATATTTGAATTTTTAAAGCCCCAAATGTTGATAGTTGAAATTTTTCAATTTTATGGTCAAAATTTAACACGCAAAGTTGAATATAAATTTATCATATTGTCTATAATATATATCCTTTTGCCATGAAACTTGGTTAACAGTCTCATTAAGCTTTGATCATACCAAGTTTTAATAAGATTGGGTAAGTCTTTCTATCATATTAGGTCTTAGACCACAGCTATCGCCCCTTGATTTTCGTTGTCTACACATATAGTCCCTAGTGTGGACAGTGTGTAACTTGCCTTTTTTTAATACCCTTTCCAAATTTATTTCTTCATGTTTTATGCCTCAAATAGCAAGAAGGGTGATGAAACTACACTGTAAAAAAAATTTGGGTCACAAATTTTATCCAGCTAAAAAAGGTTAAAAATTAGTATTTCAGAAGCTACCAAAAGAATTCTAGACCCCCTTAACATAAAATTGTCCAAATTTTGAGTTAGAGCTGATGAAGTTTTCTTTATTTTGATATATAATTGGTCCCAAAAGTAGTACACCACACCATAAAAATATTATTGAAAAAGAGCAGGTGGGAATTTCCATTTATTGTCTAAAAGAAATGCAGAACCAAATAACTGTGTTCTCGGCCTGTATACTAATGGAAAAACAGACCAAAACA